GTGCCACGCTTCTAGTAACAAGTGCCTTACTAGTAGTAACAAGGACGCCTCTAGTAGCATTTTGCAATTCGAAGAGTTTGACCTTCGGTTCTTGGAACTTCGGTGACTCGTCAGGCGGTGTCGCTGATCTCGCCGGTCTTGGTCTCGGCCGTGAAGCGCGGCGGTGGCATCGTGGTCTCGGCGCTCTTCGGTGCAATCTTCTTTAACGAGAAGCTGGAAGGGAGGAGCTGGAAGCGCGGAAGAAGTTGAGGTCAAAGTGGAAGTCATGTCCTGTCTTAGGGAGAGGGGAAGCTAGAAACTGGAAGGAAAACGCATCATGTTCTGAAACAGTGAAACAGGTTCTAAAAGAAGTGTTCCTGTTTCTCACAAGAGGAAGTGGCCATGAAGTGACATCCACAGCCAAAACGTCAAGCCTGGCAGGATGGTCTTAGGTGCAGAGAATCAGAGAGAGAATCGGAACCAAGTTTAAACTGGGAACAAGAAGCTACTAGGGGCTCCCGGCCTTACTACTAGGAGCAAGAAGCTACTAGGAACAAGTGCATCGCTTCTAGTAACAAGTGCCTTACTAGTAGGAACAAGGACGCTACTAGGAGCAAAGGGCATCGCTACTAGGAGCAAGGACGCTGCTCGGTGCAGAGAATCAGAGAGAACCAGAGAATCAGTTTAACATATAGTGTACTTCTTGGATTGTTTGGGCGACAGTGCAAGCTGTGCAAACCATTTTGAAGGGAGGAACACTTGAGACATGATCAAGTACAAAGTATTGCTTGTAAAAGTGTTCTTGATGAGACCCTGAAGCACTGGGTGATGCATAAATGGAGTGGACACACCTCCTGGAGGCTTTCCAACCTGCTCACATTTTGTTGTGGGGTCCTACATCTTCCCAAGTGACAAGTAGGTGTAATTTGTCTCGTCTCAACAGCGGGTCTTTGCAGGAAACAGCTCCTTTTCGTCGTAGCTGTTGGCGAGCCTGGGCGCAGCTGGCAGTCTCTGGTGGGGAGCGGTTCTGGTCTACAGATCAATCGGCAGAACCATCTACAGTATATCGTCATCTAAATCATTAGAGCCTTGAGAGGGGCAGTTTTGCACACATCATGTTTGATTCCACGGGGACATTGCCTGGCAAACCTTTGGCAAAGTCTCATGATGGTTGGGAAAAGTAGAGATTCTCACTTTGGACCAAGTGTTTTTTTTTTGTTCCCGTGGACCGACACCTAAACGATACTGTGAGAATCGCGTCAAGTTCTGGACGGTTGGTCTTTGATCAAGATTCATGTCCATATCACCATTCTTTGCATACGAAAAAGTGCCGGCAATCTACGGCAAAGAGTGTTTTCTTGTTTACTGTAGAACAATTTTCGCACCAGGCATGTGATGTGGGCTAGAGGTGAAAAAGATCGGATAGGTGGCAGTCACTCACATTGGCAACTTCAACTCATGAAGCAGAATGGGAAGTGTTTCCCGGGTCAAGCTTCAACATTGGACCACAGCTTGTGTGATGTTATTCTATTTTATTCAGATTCATTCATAGGCTTTATCCCGAGTGCTCGGGATGGACAAGAGTTTTCCTTGGGATACATGAGTTCCAAAGGGTTGAGTTGCCGGTGCCGTGCAGAGATGTTGTTCCCATTTTTGTCCTGAGGTCATGATTCTTTGCGTGTGAGAAGCGGCCCACAGCTGACAGAGCTGAATGCTTTTAATATTAGGATACCTACTAGCGATGGCCTCCACCCTAGTAGCGATGGCCTCCAACCTACTAGCGATGGCCTCCAATGAGGAGGATGAGGATGAGGGACTTGCTGTGCTTGAGCCTCCGCTCAAGACGCAGCGCAAGCACTTGAACTGGTGTGCGCACATGCGTGCAGCAGAGCTGCCTTGGGGTGACATGAAACCAACAAATACAAGTGCACACATGCAGCTGGACCGAAGCACAACCCGAGTTTCAGAACTCTTTGCAACGCCATCAACGTTTTTGCAGACATGCTCATTTTAGTAGAAGCCTAGATGCTGTGCAACTAATTCGAGTTTGGACGTTCCAGGCTGACCTTCAACTGAAGGCTGCCACTATGACTTCACTAAGGAGCTGTGACACCAAATCTGAATGAGTGAGGGAATGACTGAAATCTCAACAAAGAGGGCAGAGGCCAGGGATTTGGATAGGAATCTTTGAGGTGCCCACGATTTTCGAGCTTCGCCAGACCTTTAGGGGGCGTGTTTAGCCTCAACTCAATTCAGATTCCAAAAGCGTGTCATTGGACCCACTTGGGCGTTGAAAAAGGCACGTCGGACCTGCAAGTCCTTCCCACGACCGAGTCACCACTCGCTTTGGGCGAAGATGCTTGTAACCAAGACTGGCAAGAGGATGACCTGTCGATGCTACTTGCTGATCGTCGCCTCTTAACGTTAATCGCGTCCATCCGGGTTACTTGGACAGGTCTCCGGACCTTGTGACCGACTGCGGAAGACCCAACAGCCGCGTTTCAGCGAACATCCAGGGTTCGGCTGACGAGAGAAACCACGGGCAAGCGGTTTGCATGGTCCACCTGTCGATGTTCATGTTAAGTAGACGGAGTTCTTCTACAAGTTCCAGAAAAAGAGAACGTCAACGTGTTGTTCGTCCATCGTAATGGGGTCTACCGGTCTACCTGCCACACTGCAGAGCAACTCGAAGGTCAAGGACGAAAGCGCCACCGTAGACGCACACGTAGACGAACACGTAGACGCTTACGGACGAGCCGTTTTCTACTGCAGAGACAGCAAAGCATTGCTGTAAATAACAAGCGTGGTTCCACACCAAAGAGAAAACTCCCAAGAACCCACCACATCCCCGTTTTCCTCGTGAGGTTGCAGCAAATGACCTGCCTTCCCAGCAAAGGTCGTGGTTTGATGTCGAGGCAGGTGAGCCCTTGCTCGTACCTCGCAACATCAGCCGATGACTCTCGGTCTTGGGGTGTGGAGTACTGAACTCCCCTCACCCCCCCTTACAACCCCAAACGAGTGCTGGCTTTTCCCTTTCCGCCAGATCAAAGCGTCTTTGCTACCGTCTCAAAAAGCTTCACGCAGCCTGCTTTCTCGCACATGCGGTAGCTGACGGTTTCAGGATTCGGTGGTTCATGGGTGAACTTAAATTCCTTGGAGTTCCTATACTCAAATCCACAGCCCGTGGTGAAGGCGTCCTTCACTGCATGAAAGACACTGCTGCCTGTGTTCATCACAAATTTCGGCAGGAACTTCCTGGACAGCTCTTCTGTCCATTTCTCATGCATCAAGACCGACTTGGTCCGGAGTTCACTCAAGATCTCTTCGATCTCTGACTGCGATTGCTTGGCGTTCTGCAAAATCTGTGTGCTTTGCGTTTCCAGGGCATTCTCGATGGCACGTACCATCTTTCTCGACTTCGGGTGATCTGCATCTCGAGGGCCTTGGCTGAGTGGGTGTGGCCAGCCATTTCTCGGCGTTCTCCAACGGGACCTCCCTCAAATACCTGACGATTGCATCACTGCCCCACCGACAGAACAGCTGGATCTTGTAGAACTCAATGCCTTTTCTCGCCATGAATTGGGCCCCCATAGGCCGCAGCATGTGGCCCGTGATGTTCTGGGCTTCCTCCTCGGATAGCCCTTTTGCAATCGCCACTCGACGAAAGGCTTTGATCATGCCCTGCTTGGTTGGTGGTGTCTTGGACTTGTCCGTGACGAGGAATGGATCTTCATCATGATGACCGTTCTCTAGGGCGGCCTGCTGCAGCCTCCTCGCTGCTGCCACCGGGCACAGACTCGGTAGGGTCTCGCACAAACAGCCCTGCCTCCGAAGTGCGCCCTCGCCCTTTGAATCCGTCTTGGAAGCCGGTAGGTATAGGGACACCACCCCACAACCCGTGCCTCCTGTCTCTATCTGGACATGCTTCATCTTCCTCAGGGCTGCTTCCATCTCCCTGCACGCGAAGAGCGAGAACAGGATCACGGTGTCGATCGTCTTCCTTGGGCCTCCATCGACAGGTTCAACCTCCTTCAGCCCTTCCAACTGCCTCAGATCCAGGGCGGGGCACTGTTTGTCAGCGCCTATGCCCCTGACACAGGACCTGATAGCGTCTTTGATGGCCAAGGTCAGATCGTCAGTCCAAGGGTGACTCAAGAGCACATGCTCCCTCTTGAAGGCCGCAAAGTACATGGCTGAAGATCTGTATTGGCCTACCTTCAGCAAGGCCCCATATCGATCGTTTGCACCGTCAAAGGGAAGGGGTCCACGTCCAAGCTCTTTGCTGCACCCACCACTGGACCCTGGCCTTGTGGGTCGCTTGGTTCGAGGCTGCAAACTTGTCATTCTGGAAGTCCTCCATGGCTTTCTTGAACTCCTCTGGGTCTTCAGCCACTTCTTGGGCTTTCGCCCTGTTGCCCGTACGGGCAGGCTTTCACTCCAGGCTCGGTGCACCGGAAGAGGGGGTAGCCGGTGCTGCTGTTGCTGGCGTTCGAGGACTGGGCTTTGCTACAATGGCACTTTCTTCGACCCCCTCTTCCATGGGTGTCTCGCGTTCAGTGGCCGGCTTGGTCACTGTTACTAGTGCACCTTTCCTCATCAGTGCCTGCACGTTGTCATCGGTGTAGATCTTTGGCAGCTTGGGCGGGGGTTCATCACCTCCACTGCTGCCTTCCGAATCCTCCTCCATCTCTGGGTTGATCAACTGCCAAGAGGCGTCCGTGTCTCTGCCCGTGTCACCTGGGGGAGCTTTGTCAAACCTGCAGTCATCCATTGCAGACCCCAATGCTCGCTCCAGGTCGTCCTCCCCCTCTACACGGGCGGGTGGGTCTTTGGGACACTTGTGTTCATGTTCACAACCTGGATGGTATGGTCCAGCATCACAACTCAAACAACTTATGGCAGCGGTGACCTCCACCGGGTTTGAGCACGTGATGCATGTGACCTTCTTCACGAGGCTCTCTGCCATGTCTGGTTCAACCGGTGTCGTCTCTCCCGACGTACTGGGCTGCATCAACAGCCCAGGGTACACCCCCCCTGCCGTCTCCAAGGCGAACTCGGTTGACAATCTTCTCATGTCAAACGGCTGCAGGAAAGACATGCGAATCGATCGAACATGTACAAAACACATCAGTCAGACTCTTGCTTGCAATGCTTGACAAAGCAATGGACACACACAGCAGTCGGTCTCTTGCATATCGTGCGTGACACGGCAACTGACATGTTCCCCCCCCCCAGGATACTCCCTGGCGCACGAGTGATGCCCATCTCGGCATTGAAGCTGCCTTGCACGCGGGCGGCCGACACTCACGCTGATCACATGATACGAGCGACGTGACTCGGCGTTTCACCCCTCTCCCCGGTCTCCCCTGCTCGGTTGGCCATTCACCCTCTTCGGGATGCCCACCCAGTGTGGGAACGTGCGCTCCCCCTCACTGTTTCTCACTTTTCGTGCCAAAGCTCAGGTGCATGCTCCACCCTCGGCAGGTGAGAAAGCTCTCTAGGCATCTGGCCCCGGGAAAGGGCGTCTGCCCACACGTTCTGCTCGCTCCACAAATGCAGCGCTTCTAGTGAAGCGAAGTGGACAGCGAGGTGCAGCGCCGCTTCTTTTGTGACTTCATTCAGCAAAGGCGCCTTCGCTGCTCTCCTCACTAGGGCAAACAGAACTCCTTGTGCGTCTCCACGGATTCTGATATAGCCCTGGTCCCCTGTCTTCACCCAGGCCCACAAACATCGCAGCATCATATATGCTTCCCACAACGCTTGTGAACCAGCTTCACCGATCACTGCACCAGTCTTTGCCTCATCTACTGCCGTCCAGGTGAGGGAGAAGACTTCCGTTGGCTGACCTGCACACAGCCGCACTGCCCCCCCCACCCCACGGTGAGGCGTCCACCAGAAAATCTAGCCGGCACCGGTGTCTAGTGTGTGCATACACTGTTCTTTCCAGACCTTCTGGCCCCCAACTCCATAGGAACCGCTTGATCCAGCGCAGCGCCGGCTCGATCTGCCGGTGATAGACCTGCCCTGGCCCTGTAACTTGCTTGGGTTGGATGTCAAGGCTGCATACAACATCCGTA